CAAGTGCCAAAAGTGCAATCTAACATCTAGATTACACTCAAAAAACTTTGGACAATCTATGTAATATGCCATAATAACTAAATATCATATATTTCACAAATTCAATCCTCAAGCCCTTGATTTTGGAAATAGTAGGGGGAGGCATTTTTACTTGGGAGAATTACAGTTAGGTCCCACACAAGAAAATTAATTACTGCAAGGTCTATTGACAACTGAACTAAACTGTATTGACAATTTCAATGCTGTTTAGTTGAGTTGTTAATAGACCTTGCAGTAATTAATTTTCTTATGTGGGACTTTAATATCATTCTCCTTTTTACTTCAAAAATCAATATAATTTAATACAAACATACATATAATCAAATTTATACTTGAACTAATATTTTGACCCTACTTAAATATCTCAACTAAAAAAGATACCACACGCACTAAGATCCAAAATACACATTTCAATATTCAATATTTAATGGTGTAAATATAACAAAATATAAACACCCTAGTTGGTAATATCAATTAATTTCACATATTCATCTAAAATTACGAGAAGCCTACAGTAGAAAATTGACTTCCTAAGCCTTTGGTGTTTTCCCTTGGTCTTATTTAATACTATTGCCTGTAAAATGTTTAATAGAAGGGTGAGTATAATCATTTAGTAATCAAAGTTAATCTAACTTATACAAATACATGTTAATTAATAATAGTTATGCAAATGGCATATTCAAATGAAACATTTTCACATATTAAACTATCCAATTCATATAGTTACAAAACTAATAATCATGTAATATTAGATTACTTAGCATGCAAGGATCACAATAATAACAATCATGCACCCTTCGTAAGACATGCATGGCCACAAAAATAACAACTATATGGTCACATAATAATATGCATTAAAATATATATGAGGTTACAATATTAATAACCATGTACCCCCTATCAAATCATGTCAAACCATAAAAATAATAACCAAGTGGTTGGGATATAATATGCATAATCAATGCCAACTTTATACCATCTTGATATCTTTAACATAAAATTGGTGGCTATTTATTGGGCTATGTCTATAAACTTGGACTTCCCAAGCCTTCCACTCATAAGGAGCTGACCGGCCAAGACTACTATACTCACTTGTGTGACACGATTTTCTCCTAATACTAACAACCATGGGATGTCATACCCTAATTTAACCTCCTCATGAACCTATGGAGATTAGTTAGGTTGGAGCTCCTCAAAAATAAGTAGAACAGTCTCTCTACAATAATGAAACAATGACTACCTTTTGATTCCAACAGTTGATAGACTGGCTAGCTTTTGATTCTAACAATAAGTTTCCAATATCACGTGGATTTACAACATTTACTCCTCTCCCTATAAGCAAACTCCCACCTGATGATCACGCAAATAAAACATGCTTACTCTAGTATAAAATTTCTCATTAAATGCATTGCACGCAATTGCTCAACTATCAAACTCCACTAACCACTTTGTTCACCTTTAGTTATTATTTCCATCACATATTCTATCTCATTCATATCACATCATCACATTATAAGTCTTGTCATGTTCTTATGTTTATGCTCAAATATATCATTTATCCACACATCACATATATATTCATATAGACAATTATTCTTATACATATTATTACATCAATTTCAACACATCACATAAACTTACTCATATTATCACAATTTGTATCAAATATCAATTTACAAACATAACTTAGTTTTCAAACAATTCATTTAAACATATAACTATATAATAAGCAAATGTACAAACCAAATTTCCCTCAATTATCTCAAACTTTGAGAGGTTAAAGATTATCTCTCAATTATAACTTGACTTTCGAGCTAAATTTAAGTTGATCGGTGCTTCACAAGATTAGTCTACAATTAATATTAACACATATTACTAATAATAATCGAAATCATCATTTTCAACTTCTAATTTCATACTTTAATAAGCAAATTTATCAACTAAAAGATCAATCTCACATTCAATGAGTTCATTAATTCCCATTAACTTTATTTGCCTTTAACAACTTAAATAATTACTAATATATCATATAACAATCCAAAATCATCATCAATGATACAAATTACTCACTTCAAACTCTCAAGTTTCAAATAATCAATCAAAACTCTCAAATCTTAAGTTTAATAATTACATTAGGTTTATTAACTCCCATTAGCTCCAACTAACTTTATTAAACCCATCTACCATCATTAATGGCTTCCAACAATCAAAACCTTCATCATTAATGGTATTTTAATGCACAAATCCATCCATAGTCGAGAGCTCACTTTCATAGACATACAAAACCACTATATTTAGGTTTAGATAACTCAAACAACTCTCATTAGTTTCATTTAGACCAATGAGTTTGGACCCATAGCTCTATGTTCAAAAATTTTCATCTCCCAACCTCAAATCTCACACTCCAAAACATGTAGAGAGAAGATGAAGAGATAAGAAAGGCATACCTAGGTGAAATCAAACTCTAATCACCTCCAAAATACTTAAAAATTGATGTCCTAGCAAAGTAACTATTCTCTCAATCGCCCTCCCTCTATTTCTAGCTCCTTTCTCCCTATTTCGGATGTTTTTTGTGTTTTAAAAAAATGATTCTAATAATTATACTACAGCGTAAATTTTTGCACTACAACAAAATGCACAGTGGGCAAAAGTCCAATTTTTTTTTTAACAATTTGAGCCCAAATGACCCAATTCACTTTTAAACCTAATTTAAAGTTAAACCCAATAGACCTATTAACTATCTCTAATTATCATCAAACCCATTTAAATTTAAATTTAAATTTATATGTTTATCCTTCATTATCTTAATTAATTAAGAAAATAATTTTGGGATGTTACATATTACAACCAAGTACAAATAAAATGGATAATGTTGAAGAAAACTACCAGTCCCTATGTTAGAAAATATAACACATTTTTAATCGAATTTTACTCCTAACAAAGTAGATACTTATCTTTAAACTAATACTATCTTTATATATTTACTCCTATTTAATAATGTGTTTCACCTTAAAAAATAATATATATATATAGTGATCTATTATAATAGGGGCATTTTGAAAAAAAAATATAATGATTATACCTTAAAAAATTAAAAATATTTTATATTTTTAAATATACAACCCGTTAAAAAATGTTTTATATTTTTTAACGGATGGAGTATATCTTTCCTTCATGCGTAAGACTAAATAAGATTTTAAGAGAGAATATTTGTTTTACATTTGAAAAGAATTTTCACCAAAACCTTAAGAATAAGTTCATATGTATCAAGATAAATGTCTTGCTAAATAGTTCCTGCCCCTAATTGGGTCAAACTTCTTATTGATAGAACGGTTAATAGAAATGGAGACGTGCTTGTGGAGGCCTCATCTAAAATAATCAAAGAAATTAGTTAAAGAGTTTCTCTAGTTATTATTCAAGCACCGTTGTTGAGTTTGTAGCTATTTTTGAATGACTTAACATTTGTTAGAAAGGAAAATTTACCAAAATTAACATTTACTCTAACTCATTTAAAAATCTCAAACTTATCCAATGCTATTTTATCCCAAATCATCCCCTCTTTGAAACTATATTGAAGGTTAAAGGCTCAGTCATGAGAGATTGAATAATCACTTTTAATTATTTATTTAGAGGAATTAATAAATGTATAAATTAACTTGCTCATCTTTTAGTGGCAATTTTAATATTAAGATTTTTGATGATTTATTCTTCGGATGCATAAAACATCAAAACATATATTTTGACATGACTTTTTTTTTCCTTGCATGTTTGCAACCTTATGTTGAAAAAAAATATTTTCACCGAAAGCTTGAAGTTGTTACATCTCACAAAATACGCATAGAAATTTTCCAAAGCTAAACGCCAAAGCTAAAAACAAACACCTTCTTACTTTGCTAATTAAAAGTGTTTTTAGGGAATTCACTTTTGCTTGAATTGCTAAGTGGCTACCTTTCACATTCCATTTGCCAATCGGTATGTATCTCTAGAAATGGCCAAAATGTCGTCTGCTAAACTTAAAACACAGTTCTTTTTAACACAGTGGGTCATCCAGAAAGTCCTTTTATTATAAACCTCAAAATTGATACAACGTTTTCTTATTTAAATAATAAGAAAAAAAAACTCATGGGACAATAACATTCTAGTTGTCTTGTCTTAATTTTTTTGTGGACTTGATCAAGACAAAAATTAATGGGCGGTCTCTGTTTTATGGATTTCTGCAATGTTCCTTCCAGTGGGTTGGACTTGGAGCAAAGGTTTGTGTTTGGTTACCAGACATGTGGCCTAGTAAAGTTCCTTGGAATTTAGCAATTACAAATTTGATTAATATGAAGCTTCAAAGTTTTACTCCATCTGACATTAGTTCAAAACTCAAATAGAAAATTTTCTCGCTGGAATTCCCCAAACACGCCCCCCAAAAAATTTGTTATTATTTTCTCCCTCTCTACAAAGCTTACACTAAGCGGTGGCAAATCAGAGCAGATCTTGGCTTAGAATGGAATATGAAGCGGGACATGCTGTTGAAAATCTTTTGAAGATTCCCTCATACCAATTAGAGAATTCCATATCTCCTTATAACATCATTGCTTTTAAAGATTCATTTTCTCTTTTCTATTCTATAGTCTGTTAGAAGTTTGAACACATACAATTTCAAACTTTCATAAACTACTTCTGCCAAAAAAAAAAAAATCGCAAGTATACTTTGTCTTCAATGTCGTCCTCGCATTTGTGCTTTTTTAGAATACAGTTAACATAAAAATAAGTCGCATGCCCCTAGAAAAGTAATGTGATTGTTAAGTATTTGATTATCATTGACAATATGTTAAGATACAGAGTTGAGTATTGTTTGAATATCGTACCTGTACATTGTTTGAACATTTGATTATCATTATCATATTAAGTTCTGGGTGTTAGTTCTATGTGTGTTAGGACCACAGGGAGTATTCTTTAGCAAACTAGCGGAATAACTCAAACTTGAAGGAAACATGACATTGATAAGACCAAATGTACTGTTGGATGGCTAAAATATTGAATCTCACGTTAAACGAAAAGAGTAACAAGAGGCAATTACTTGGTTATCTGCATAACCATTGTCCCACCCAATGAAACAGATGATAGAAGGATAACTTGAGGGTTCATAAATTTCATGAAGTATTCTTCTGTTGGAAGGAGGAAAATACTAAAAAGAAAAGTAAAATTGAGATAAATTTCATGGATTCTCAAGTTTGAGAATGCATGGTGATGATAGAGAGTTTGAGCGTTGAATTGGGGAGAAATGGGAAGAAGCACAGACAGAATGGTTGAATCTGAAAGAAGTTGCAGCTCTTCTCTCTGCTTCAAGGTAGTGACCAAGAGAAGGACCATCCTTCACACTTACTGCATCAGTGGTTTTTTTCGAGCACAATGAGAGCAGCCATGGCTTCATCTTATGACTCTTCTTATTGCTGTCCTTTGTGGGGTCCACCACTGTTCTTCCCCTGTTTGATCTCTGTGAGAGTTCCAGGAGGCTAGAATCGCCAATGAGGGTTCCAAGTGTGATGGTCTTTTCATGGAACAAGGATCCTGGGGACTAGAACACAGAAGACACATAGATGAAGAATCCAACCTCACAAACGTCAAGTATTGTTGAACAAGTAAAGGATGGTTTTACTTCGTCAGGGAAATTTTTGACTGTTTTAATCAATTTGGTCAACAAATTGCCACTCATTAAAGGCTGTTTCTCATTTCTCAATCATTGTAAGATTTGTTTTGTTATCCGTTATTTATTGTGGAATTTTTCAGTTAAACTTCAACAAAAAAATGATGATGATGATATCAATTATTAATTATCATAAAATCATTTATGTCAAAAAAAAAAAAATTAAAGAATAAATTTGCTCCAAAATTTTTTATCTAAAAACGTTGGGCATCTTAAATTTTTTGATGGAGTATTTTTACCTTAAAACTTAAAAAAAAAAAAAAGAAGTCCTTTTTTGCCTTGCCGTTAAATCCACCATCAGTTGACCATCGAAACTCAAGTTTAACTGTTAATAAGACACATGGCATGCTGAGTTGGACGCTTTATTAATAAAAAAACTAAACCTACTTTGTTTTAGGGTTAATTTAACCCAACAAAAAGAAATTGGACCCAAAAAAAAAGGGAAGAAATTGGACCAAAAGATGACCAGCGTCGTCCACGTGTACCCATCTCTCATCCCTCTTCCTCCATGGCGTGTGCTTCATCTCCCACTTCACTCGTCGGCGACCATTCTCCCTCACCCACAAACCTTCGCTGCCGACCTTCTAGTAACAAAAAAGAAGTAGATTCGTCCAAATTTAGGCGATAATTGTGCTACCTTTTGCAAAAGTTACAAAATGATATTGCCGTTGAGTGTTCAGATCACTTTCAAAATTCTAATACTACCTTTGAGAAAAACAAGAGGCAAAGAGCTCCCTCAATTGATTAAACCCATTCTTGTTTGACCCATACCTACTCGATTTTTGCCAGATTCATTTGCCGATTCAAAACAAAGAACAAGAAAGAACATTTACAGATTCAAAACTCAAAACAACTTTTACAGATTTGCAGATTAAAAACAAAATTTCTCACTAATTTCAAAATAATCGAGATCTATGTTCAAAGTCGCATCTTCTCACGGGGAACTTTCTATTCATCGCAGGTCGAGATCAATGAGATTGAAGACGATGGTTAAATGTCACCATTGTCCTCATCAGTTCGCCGTCTCTTCCTTATCATCACACCAGCCACAGGAATCGAGCACTCAAGCTTCTGTCAGTTCCCCGTCTCTCCTTTATTGGAACACATTCAAGGCTAATTGAGCAATTTCAACGAGAACCCATTGCTCTTTTTTTAGCACAGGAAAATGGGAAAGGTTCCTACAATTTCTCCGGTATGGTGATGAAGACCAAAGAGGAAAAGGAAACGGCGTCTCGAGCTAATACAAACAAAGTAGGTTTAGTTTTCTTTTTTATTAATAAATTGTCCAACTCAGCATTGCCATGTGTTTTATTAACAGTCAAACTTGAGTTTTGATGGTCAACCGACGGTGAATTTATAACGGCGAAAAAGCACCCTTTTTAAAAGTTTTAAGAAAAAATTACTCTATCAAAAAATTTAAAATGCCCAACGTTCTTAAAGAAAATGTTTCAAAACAAATTTGTCTTTTAACTTTAAAATAAATAATGATAATAATTGATTAACGATATGAACGATATATTCCTATGACCATATTGATAAATGCTAACACCAAGAACATTAAAACAGAGACATTTGGGAAACTAATAGGGAATCCAGTAATGATAAAAAAAAAGAAGCAAAAACAGAGCAACGACCATGAATTGAATTGGTTGATCTTCAAAGGTCACCAACCTGGGATTCAAGATCTGAAGTAGAATGAGTGAACGAAGTGGGAGAAGCAGTGAGTATTGATCCAGAGAAATCACTGTCATTTTGTACCAACCTAATCCTCCCATGCAGTAATCCGAAGGGCCACCCTTCTTCCTGCATTATCATTCTTCAGAATTTAAAAGTAACTATCTCAAAATGACTAAACTAGACGAAAACTGATAAAATAAATAAATAAATATCAAATTTTACTACTTTAAACCAGAATAATAGTTCTGAGATCCATAAATATGATTTTTGTCTTGAAAAACTGTAGTGTTTACAGTTTCAAGCACTTGAAGTCCGACCATCACCCACCTGAAGACCTCAACCCCAAAATGCGTAAAACAAAAGGGAGAAGGCCACAAACTTTCTTCCCTGATATTTGGTCCTCCGATTGATTCAAAGAAAATAACCCAAAAAACGCATAATAAGGAAGATGGTACCTGCAGAGCCATGATTACTGTGTTTGCTGAAGGATTTGTGGAGACGAGATTTGAACGAAATAGAGGGAAGAGTGAAGGATTAGTGTCATTTTCACATCCTACATTATCAGAGACATAACACCAAATAGGTTGAATTCGAAAAACAAAAGGGGTCCATGATCAACAGCAATGGAGTAAATTTTGGGATGCTAAATGTAAAAACTGCAACAGAAATAGACGCAGGCGATTTCTGGCTCCAATTCAAAACAATTCAACATCGTTTCCCCTGAAACCCGCAAAGTCAGAGAGTGAGAACTACGAGAGTGACTTCCCACCAAGATCCTGTGTTTTTGAGGGGACACAAGTTGGTGGTAGTAGCGCAAGTTACAGCAGTTTCGGTACACATATTAATGACCCTGTCCTCTCAAATAAATGTTGGTTCTTGTATTTAATTCATCAAGTGTGTATATTTATATGTTGTTCTGATTATCGTATAAATAAATTACACGATTTATTTGGGGACAATTAAGTTATATTTTTTTAATTTTATGCTCCAATATTCTGAAAAAACTTGGAGTATTATTTCTACACACCTAAGCCAAATTCCAACTCTCGTGATGTAAAACTGTTTTTATTAACAGTGGTCTATCTTATCTATTTTAATCCATGCTTGAATTGCTACATATATATACTTGGCCAAAACTATTATTAAACAAATTTTTGGCTACACTTTTATTTCAACTTTGTGCGTGAATAGAAAATATAAAATCATATAATTCAAGTATTCTACACTTTTATTTCAACTTTGTGCGTGAATAGAAAATATAAAATCATATAATTCAAGTATTTATTGAGATAGAAAGAATATGGGAGAATCACAAATAAATTCCATTACAATAGGCAAATAATAAATAAGTATCATGGAATACAATATTTACTTTAAAGTTACATTATCTAACATAATTTTATTGGACATAATGACTTATGACATTATGTTAAGTTTAAGTTTTGATAATGACAAATATAGTTGTATTATCTTAGCTAATATATTTGAGAATATCGAATAGCTAATTATATGGATTAGTTGTTCTCTTACATATATTAGTTAACTATAACTATGGAACAAATTTTTTAAAGTGATTTTACTTATATTGTTTCATACTATTTGGGATTTGAAAAAATAATTTATGTCCTCAAAAGTTATTTTATCCTATTATATATTTTTCTTATCCTAAATTGATTATATATCTAAGAGTGATCAAAGTGTTATTTTTATAATTTGGATATTTACAATATAAGATTTATATATGCATGGCATGATATAATAACTTTTACACTAATTCTCATGCATATTGATACTTGGACTAACCACTTTATTTATGACACATTATTGAAGGTTATCTAAAGTAAAAATATGAGTGAGCATGAAGAGATAGCCATTGAAGTAATTATTAGCATGCTTCACTCAAGAATGAAAAACATAAGGAAGATGAGAAAGATGATCCAATCGGAGCTTAAGTGAATGAAGATTTACAAGCTTCGATCCATCATAGGTTTGGTCTTGATAAGTATAATATTATAAAGCTTTTTAATCATTATGTTAACTTCATTGTTTTATATGCATCACAACATTCAATTTATTTTTAAAATAAATAGTGAGATATAACTTTAATCTTGTTTTCAACTAATTATATCTCAAAAGATTTGAAAATATTTTCTCTTAAAAATTATTTAAAAACTAACTCCATAAAGCTTCTTAAAATTTATATTTACTCATAATGAAGTTATGTTATTAACATTTGAAGTTCACTAAGAATTTGGGAGATATTTAGTTTTGACCTTGATTCAGTTTTTTCTCTACATCTCTTAATATACAAATCTATTTAATGTGAAGTTTCTTTTGTTTAAAAATAGGCTTATAAATATTTCTAAAGACATCTATTTCATTCAAAATAGATTTTATATGAAGTAGATATGATTTTTTAAAATTGGTTGTTAAAACTTCTAGTACTCGAAAAAATGCTGCTAACCTTTTCTCACTTTTTTAGTCATATCTTTCAAATTGCTTTGAATTTTTGAGTGGGTATTATTTTGTTGGAAACTAAACATCTAGAGCTTTCCAATATAACCTTTCTGAGGTTAAACTGCAATTGTCTCTAAATTATGACAATCTAGGATTTAACCGTTAAAGGATTATCAAATTATAAAATTTTACAAAAGGAATTTCTCAAAATTCTTTCAAAGGAATCCCAATCTCAATAATTCAAATTTTAAACATTATTTAAGAAGTCCATATCAGAGTTTTAAAAGTAAAGCGAAAGCTTGAAAATTAATTGAGACTCAAAATGATGAGTTTTAATACTCAAAAATAAATTTTGTGCAGAAAATGACACGTGCGCCGCAGCTTACGGCATGTGTGCCGCGACGTGTCTTCTCTGTGCCATGAGTCGTGGCGCATTGCATGAAATTTGATAACATTAGTGCTGTCATTTAACAGATAGGGAATGAACTTTCAACGCATCCCAGATCTCCGTCCGACGTCCGATTGAGGTGTCTTTTCCGTGCCATAAGTCGCGGCGCATTGCACGAAATTTGATAACATCAGTGCTATCATTTGACAGCATAGGGAGCAAACTTTCAACGCATCCCAAATCTCCATCCGACGTCTGATTAAGGTGGTTTTGGTGTCTACACAGAGCTTTCTCCTAGCTTTAGCTAATAGCATCAGTTTCACACTCAAACTCATTTTCTATAAAAAGTTAGACATGAAAACCTATTATGACCACTTTTTCACAAAATTTCCCAAATGGGATGTCCCAACTCAACCACACGTGTCAATAGTTCACACTAATCATTCGATCACACTCAATGGACTCTTGCGGGCTCATGCAATGCATCATATACAATCAAAAATGGTTATCTCTTAAAATCACCACTCAACTCTTATTTTCACAAAACATAAAAGGGGAGGAAATGTTACACAAAATTAACAATTTCATTTTAAATTTCTCAAAATACATATGTTTCTACTTGTATAAGTATTTTGACCCTATTCACTAGTTAACAACTAAAACTCACTAACTTAGGGCATAAAATACACTAATTATATACAAAATCATGCAAGTAGTACATAAATCATGTCAAATAATCCTAGTTGGCAATTACTTTAGCAAAAACACAACACAAGGTCACAAAAACAACAACCATGCACCCTCAATACATACTGGACTACAAAACTAACAACCATGTAGCCGGACTTATATGCATAATCACATGCCAACCTTATGTCCTCTTGTTACCTCCGATACGAAATCGGTGGCTATCATATGGCTACATTCTTCACAGACTAACCCAGCCTTTCACTTGTAAGGAGATATCGGGCCAAGATTAACTCACTCACTTATGTAATTCGGTTTTCCTTAATACTAACAACTATGGGGTATCGTACCCCTTAATGTAGCCTACTCATGAACTGGTGGAGATTGGTTAGGTTTGAGTCCCTCATAGAATAAGTGGGACAGTCCTAAATCAACTACGGGACAATGGCTACTTCCTGATTTCAACTGTTGGTGCCAAGGTTAGTTTCTACTTCCAACGATCACTGCCAATACCACATAGATTTCAACCAATCTACTTCGCTCCCTAGGTGAACTCCCGCCAGTGATCATGCTATGCACATTTCTCACATAATATGCATTTAATAATCAATTCATAATACATAAACTTACATAACTCAATACTCCACAATTTAACACATAATATATCACAATTCTCCATCCATAGTAATAAATTATAATCAATTTCATAAAACACCAAGGGTGGCAAAAGCAAGGTTTTTTTTTCAAAAACTATTTCACAAATTAAATACTTTATCAATATGCATCATTAATTTAGCTCATAATTCACATTTCACAAGCACATTTAACATTCAACTATAAAGATTAAGTTTTTTTTATTTATCTCAAACCTTTGAGAGGTCAAAGGTTTACCCCTCACCATACCAACTTTCTAAAGCTTCAACAAGCTCGAATGGTGTCAAAAATGAACCTCTCTCCATCCATGCCAAAAGAATTTCATTATTGTCTAACTCTTAAAATTTTATCAACATATAACTCCACACACTCTATTTTTGTCAACTTATAATCACTACCCATTCATACCTCATGGGCTCATTAAATTTTATTGATGTATGTTATCATTAACAACACTTCAAACCATCATTAATGCATATAAACATCTCCCAACTACCTCATAAATATCATTTTTCAGAAAATAAATGCTCACATAGACCAACCACATTAAACAATATATTAAACAACTCCCATTATACTTATTTTTATCAATAGAATCGAACCTATACTCCTATGGATCAAAAATTAATTTTCCAACTCAAACCCTACCATAAATCATCATAAATGAGGGATAGAAAGGAAGAATGCTTAGATTATCTACCTTGAGTGTTTAGGAGCTTCAAAATGTCAACAATGGAAGCCAATGAGCATGCCCTAACAGAGCTTCAACGTTCTCTTCATTTTCTTCCTCTTCTGTTTTCTCGCATAGATGCAATTTGATTTATCAAAAATTTTGCCCATACGCTACAACACATGCTACCCTCTACCACAGCACATAGCACAGAGGAGCCCATTGCATTTAAATTTGTTTCTGTGCACCGTGGCGGACTAACCACACGCCGTGTAACATCCCAATTTAAATTTTAATAGTTAATTTGGGTTAATAGAAATTTTGAAAAATATTTAGAGGTAAGTAAATTAGTAGGAGATGATTATTAAATCTAACTTAGGATACAATTCTAAATTAAAATAAAAAAATTAAAATTAATTAATTAAAAAAATTATTATTAAATTATTATTATTATTATTAAAAAAAGAAAAGGTATAAAAAAAGAAGAAGAAGAAGAGAAGGAATGGATGCTTTCAGCGTTTTCGCGTGCCATCAGTACATATATATATATATATATATATATAAAATAAAAAAAGAAAGAAGAGAGAGGAAAGAGGAAAACAATAAAAAAAAAGATGTGGGACTCACAGTATTTTTTTTTAAAAACTCACCTCTTTCCTTCGTTTCTTCATTTCTTTCCTTCGTTCGCGAGCTGAGGTAGAGTGAGCGTGAGTCGCCGGTACGGGAGATCTGAATTTTTAAGGTAAGAGTTTTTAATAGGATATTTAGTGTGTAATTTTAAGTTTTTCAAGACTAAGTAAGTGATCTAAAATTTATTCATAGCCATCCTTCCTCTTTGGTTTCTGAGTTTGTGGTGGTAGAAAATTTAAGATTTGGAAGAGGGATGAATTTATGTTGAATAAACATAATTTTTGAGGTTGTTAGTAGTATAATAAATATTCTAGAGTATAAATTTATTGATGATTTTTAAATTTATGGCTTAAGGATCAAATCCTAGACTAGATTTTTATTAAATTTGAAAATATATGTTGAATTATTGAGGTTTAGATGATTATTTGGGATGAGAAGTGAATTATTATGGCTATAGGATTATGATTCTAAGCTTGAGACTCAATTTCTAATTTTTGGATATTTTAGGTGCGAATTTATGAAATAAAAAAAATTTTGATAATAAAAATTAGTTTAGAAGTTGATTTTTAGATTATTAATGTTTATTGATGAGTAAAAGAGGAGTTAAAATTTTACTTAATAGTATTAACTCTAGATTTGTATTAAGATTGAGACTAGAAATTATGTTATATTTTTAATTCTATTATTAGAATTATTTTATTAGTTTCAATAATTAAAACTAATATTTATAAATAATATATTATTTGTAGATTGTGTTATTGGTGAAGATTGTGGTGGGAGAGAAATTTATAAGGAATAATTTATTAAAAAGCCACAAGGTAACCATGCTTTTAATTTGTGATTAGTGTTACTTCATGTTAATTGGGTGATTATTGAGAAAATTATGAATTTTGTAATATTGTATAATTGTGCAATATTATTATGAATTTGTTTGATTATTGTGGAAAGTGTTGGGAGACTTGTTATTGTTGTTGTATTTATGTGCCACGTGGTACGCTCCTATTGGAGTTCAATAGGTGGCTTGTAAGGGTTCGGGTTAATCTACCTTTGGCCGAGTAATTTAGCACCGAGTGAGGGCTACGGCTCGAGGTTAATGGAGGGATATAAGGATGGTTATTTATGTGTATTGTAATATTTCTCATATTTGTTGAAATTATATTAGTTTTAATTCTCACTTAATAAACACACACTTTGTAACATCCTAAAAATTTTAAGACTCAAATTTATTTAAAAAAATAAATAAAAATAAAATAAAATATCTATAATTAAATTAAAATTTAGAATAATTTAATAGAGGCCCAGAGTTTGAATTTTACTAAGCAAAAGTTTGGTTTTATTTATTTTTAACTATGGGAAAAATTACCAAAGTTGACCCGGGCTTTTGTGCAATAATAAAAAATGTTGGGCCCTTTCTTGTAATTTTCCCCAAACTTTTTGACCAGCAATTTAAAGACCCAAATGATGCAGAAACGCAGAAATTGAGTTGGAAAGGAAAGGAAAGGAAACGTATGAGAGGGAGAGAGGAAGAAGAGAAGAGAAAGGGAGGGAGTTAGACTTGGATCTAGGAGTCTTTGCGACCGTTGCGAGCTCGGCTACACGATAGGTAAACTCCCTACTTCAATCCTCTTCTCTTTCTCTTGATTTTCTTCAATTTTTGGAAGAGGAAATTTTTGGATTTTGATCCCAAAGGCTTTATTCTTGTAAGCTTTTATTTCTTTGGATCCTAGGGAGCATGTTTTGAGTTTCTAGATAGTAATCTAATATTTTGAGTGGATAATTGGATGAAAAGAGGTGTTTTGGGCACAAAATAAACCTTGAGAAATTGGGTTTTTGCTCTTCAATGGTTTAAGCTTATTGATTTAGTTATAATTTTGCTATTTGAGCCCAATAAGATTTAAATTAAGGTTTGGTTTTCATTATAAGGGCTAATGGTGAAAGTTGGTGACACTAAGTGAAGGTTTTTAATTGATAAAAAATTATATAAATTGAAAATTAGCCTAGTGATGGCTAATAAATGGTTTTGGTGGTTAAGCGATACTATGTGAATGGTTGGTTTAATATATGGACCATTAGGTTGGATTATGACTCATAGAGCCAAGTTGTGTGGTATGAGTTATAGTCTTCATTAATGCTTTTTTTCATAATAAGTGATGTGGATCACTTATATGTTGTAGAAAATTGTTGGTGGAACTTATTGAGAAGTAAGGAACAAGCCGAGCCCTATTTTATACAAGGGGAACCCTTTTGGTACTAAAGGGTTGAGGTAACAGGGGAATTTATATTTCTTATTACTTTGTTTTAGCTATTTTTGAATAAATATTACTAGTTATCATGCATTACATGTTTTAAAAGATTAAATGTGCTTTATAAGGGGTTATGGGGTACTACTTTGATTATAGTGCAAATATGTTTTCTAATTGTTTAATAACAATGTTTTTATGGAAATGAGATTTATAAATATTATACTACTTTAGAGTGTTGAATGGTCAATACTCAGGAAAGGTAGACAAGAGTAAAAGGCATGATCTCGGTGGGAGTTCACCAATGAGAAGGTGTGGATTTTTGATATTCTATGGCACACTGTCAGTACTCAGTGTTGTCTTACGTATTGTGGGCTCAGTGCACTAAAGTGGTTAGTGTATTGAGTGTTCGACACCTCTCAGTGGGGGAGGGAATCCGACATATGAAGTGTGAGGTTGAGTGCCTAGGCCAAGGTAGCCCTCACATGGAGAGTAAGTGGGGCTGGCTCTGGGAGGGAGTTAGCTTTGACTGCTCAGGATTCACGTCGAAGGGGCATAGGCGGTTCGGTGGATTAGATCATGCCTTAGATTATGTTTTGTGCCTGTGGAGGTACAAGTAGGTATAAGGTTTACCTGCGAGTTAAAGAGTACCAAGGGGCATTCTGTTGGTCATGAAAGGCCATACCGACCTAGGTCATGCATTCATGCATTTTAAATGGCTAAATTATATACTATATTGAATTTATTATTCATTTATTTAATTATGGCTTACTTTGTAATAATCAATATAGATTTCACTGTTACTGAGACTGTGGTTGTCTCACCCCTTTCTTTTCAATATTCTAGGTCCAGGCGAAGGATCCAGTGGTGGACGGGGAAAAGAGCAAAGCTAGGGGTTTGCTTGTGATTTGTAAAGAACTGCAACCCCTTTCTTTTGAGCAAATATATTGTAATGTATTTAAGATTAGGGTGCCAGTAGGATATGATTATGTGTGTGTGTGTGAATATGTGTGGATTGTGTGCTTGTGTATGAATTTTTGTCTGTTTGCAGACTTGTGGCTAGGAAACTTGGTTATGGTGTGTGGTTTTGATGGATTTACTTAGTACACCAAGTTTCTATTACAAGCAGATCTTTATTTTGATATATATGTGATTTTATAAGCAAATGCAAAGTGGTTGCATTGCAAATGGTGTGCTATGGGAAAACATACAGCTTGGATAGAGAGAGTGGGTGCGTGGGCCCCACAAGGAGCTCTGAGCCAAGTGAAAATGTTTAGCATATATATTTATATAAATACATGATATTTGGATTGATTTGTGACCACTCTTGTATGATTTGTGCATTTTGGGGGTTTAGGGTCCATTTTGGGAAATGGCACCCGGGTGGTCAAATTTTGATGTATGGGGTTTTTCCATCATTTGAATGTTCTATCAGGTGTTTTTAATCATATTTGACGTGTCCAAAGTGTTCCCACAGGTTTGTGACCATTAGGATGAGATTTGGACAATTTTGAAAATGGTTTTTACCAAAAAGCTGTACTTTTGCATCTGGGTGTCCAAATCTTAATCCGACCGTTGGATTTCTCTAAAATTTGGGTCACAAGTAAAACCTTTTATAAGCTTCGTGTGGGCTTTGGAATCACATCGATCGGATATCGGACGGAGAAACGACGCACTTCGGAATTTGGTCTGGAGGTGCTGTCATGACAGCATTAAATTGCTGTCATGACAGCTACAGTGTTGATTTTGTAACCTGCACAAAATTCAATCCGTCCGTTGGATCTTTTCAAAATTTAGTATGCTAATAATATTCTTTGAAAGTGACATGTGGGCTTTGGAATCACTCCGATCGGAGGTCAGATGATGAAATGGTGCACTCCGGAAGTTGATCCGGAAGTGCTGTCATGACAGCTTTTTTAGCTGTCATGACAGCAAAAATAGTCAATCTTTTAACATGTCTAATTTTTAATCCGACCGTTGGATCTTTTTGAAATTTGGTACACTTATAGTATCCTTTGAATGTGACGTGAGCTTTAAAATCACTTCAATCGGAGGTCGAATGATGGAACACCGCCTCCTGGAAGTTGGCCCAGGAGGGCTGTCATGACAGCAATAAATTACTGTCATGACAGCATCTTTTTATTCCATTTTCGTCTAACTTGCTTCCGTGCGCTATAGGTAGAACCTATAATTATTTTTAAGGTTTTAAATTATTTATTTCTTAAGTTGGTTAGAGGATCAACTCCTTAACCACACTTAGTTTGTTTGAATTATGTGATTTTTGGATAACACTCAAGGCAAGTGTTACACACTTAACTGTTTGTATACACTATCATAAATTGGTTTTGGTTATTGAGACTTTTAAGTCTCATTATGTGGTTAATAATTTTCAGGAGAAGAGCCACGAGTGACACGTAGAGGGGTCCCAGAGGCTTGGTGGCATAGATCCACTGTCTCTTTTGGGTATTTGATTTATGATTTATAATGTTTTATATTGTCAATATTAGGGCTTTTTGTTTATTAACAATTATATGAATATATAAATGTAATCATGTCTTTCAAACTATTTCTATTTTTGGTACACTTTGGATGACTATAATTTTAATATTTGATTTACTTTGGATTAGTTAAAATGGCATGATTATGAGGCCAAATAACTGGCTTGTTTTGAAAATTGACTAAATTAGTTATTTTACTTGTTGGGAGTATAAGGATGGATAAATGTGATTTAGTTTACTTGTTGGGAGTATAAGGATGGACAAATGTGATTTATCCTAATGGCATGTGGGAGATAAAAATTTAACTGAAATGTTGTATCATGCAAATTGAAGCCAATTATAAAATATTTTTATATTGAAATTATTGATATAAAATGTGTTGGGTGGCTGTAACCCAACCATGGTTGAGTTAAATTATTTAAAAAAATTTGGTATGTTACACGCCGCGACGTATGGCACAGAGAACAATTCTTCACTTTTTTCTTCCTCTTTCCTTGCCTAGGTGGCCCGCCATTGATCTAGACCCATTTTTAGGGCTAAAATTACAACAATTATGCTAGGTTAAGCCCCTCTGGCCATACACATCATTAACTCACTAATTACCCTTATTGGGTTAATAAATCAAAGTTAAATTTTCTCAATTGTTACATCCAACATAGGTTATTTTCCTGTTTTGGGTTGAAATGAAAAAATTATGATTGATATAATTTAACCCATAAACTGTGTTACGAAAATATGCTCGTAGCACCGGTGCTGTGCTTTTAACACCGATGCTATTCCTTCATTTTTGACCAAAAAAAAAACCTCTCTTTAGCACCCATACTAAGTGCTAACACCTATGCTATTAATATTTTAGCACTAGTACTACTTTTCTACATCGGTACTATTCTTCAAAGTTTTGAAATAGAAGATTTCGTTTAATTTATATTCACAACGATACGTTTTATCAACAACTATGTAATAAATCCTCATATGAGAAAAACATTTATTTTTATAAAATGAAAAATATCATCATCTTTTACGAAGAGCCTTATATTAATACTATCAAAGTAACACCTGTGTTATTTTCACTATGTTGTCATTTTTTCTTATCACAGCACCAATATTATAGCAAATAGCACCAGTACTAAATTGGTCTTTCATGCTCTATTTTTGGTTCTTAATTCTAAACTCTTCAAAACTCATTTCTTAGTTATTCTTTTCATCTGCAATCAATTGTATACACTTAATAATCTTCCTAAAATGTATCTAAACACAATTATTACTTGGATCAAACTCTTTGTGATTTATTTTTTTATTTACACCACCTATGCTAAAATGCTTCACCGATATAAACCTTTACCTATTTTTACCAGAGCATTAAATGCGTAAATGCCATTATATTTGCTTCTAGCTCTAACACGTAAACCCATTTGAAAAGCTATCAATTCCTACTATCCTTTTCAGGTAACAATACTGTTATAAAGCAACAAAGCTACATTATAACTACAATGTTAAAGATCGAACAATAATGAAAAATTGATTGTATTTAATGAAATACTTTACAAGACGCAAAGAAAACTCTGTCGAAATTACTAAATAGACTTACATAAGAGAGAAGGAGACTACTCCAATGGTTATTTTAAATGAGTCTAACGGATCATTGTTCAACTCCAACTATAAAAGGGCTCATCTATAAAGAGCAAAGTAAAGAAGTGAGTGACACAAGCTATGATATTCAATACCTTCAATTACTCTCTATATTTGTCTCAAATATTATTGTACTTCAATGTGTTCATCTATTCAATGAGTGAGTTTTTATCAGAATCACTTTGTGATCAAAATCTCTCTATTATTTATTTGAACAAACTTAAGATCAGGAGATCTTAAGTGGGTGCTAAAATTACCTCTGTAAGGGGGAAAGAAACAAACTTATAAGTCTAAGAGATTGTAAGTGATTTCCTAAGTACCCAAATTGAACTTGTAGGATTTTTGTAAAGGAGAGTGATACAGACATTAAATCTAAGATTATACTGTGGCTTCATAAGTGCCTAAATTGAACTTGTCATTATAGTGAAAAATCTCATAAGGTTCTTGAGGATTAAACATAGGCCAAGTGAATTGGGCTGAACTAAGATAAATTCATTATGTATTACTCTATATCTCTCTCATCTTCATTAGCTCTATTTATCCTATCAATATTCATAGTTCAAATTTCTGTGATCAAAAGCTTTTGGTAAAAAATTAAAAGACACTCGATTCACCCACCTTTTCGATGACCAACATATCTTGTTTTTTGTAAAATTACATTTTTAATCCTAAGCAAAATAATGAGGCATAGTTGTTGAGGACAAAGATAATGTTATTAATATAGGCAGCATAATCATTAGCTTAGTTATGCAATAACAAGTATGTTTTCTATATTAATAACTTCATCTTAGTAATTAACAATTTTAATTTAAATATTAACAACATAATTAATCATAATTTTAATTTAATTATGCAATAAAAATTGTGCTTCTTACATTAACAACTTTACATTCAGTATTAACAATTTTAGTTTAAATTTTAATAAATACACTTTCTATTATTTTATAGAGTTTCAAAAATATAATTTTACAAAAGAAATTAACAAATAAGTACCTAAATAGTAAATACCCAATTTTGTGGTACTATTTTATCATTTCAAGAGATTTATTTGTGTTTTTTCAAAGAATATTACTTCATAATAAAACAAAATCCTTAACGGAAAAAAAAGATCCTATTGCAATAGTATTGTAGATTTAATATTTTCATACATTCGGAACCATTATAGAATATTATAGCTTTACGCACAATTGGGCAAAAAGCAAAAGCTGATGGTCTGGGAGGACACCGTCCCAATCAACAGTACTCTGTAATATTATAATATCATCAACCGACGTAGCCTGCACCGTCACTAGATCGGTATTCTCCAATTCCTAACAAATCCTGGAAAAGTATAATTGAACCAGAAATTAGTAAAATAAGTTAGCATTTGAATTTGGCCCGTGCGAACATGAAACTTTCAAGGCAGGCATAATAGAGAGAGTAAGTAAAGGGGTTTTCGTTTTCGTTTTTGTTTTTAATAAAAAAGTCATTTTAACAAGCGGCACACAGTGGAGAAAGTGGATTTGTTGCTAATAAAGTTTAAAGTAACGGGAACATGAATATGAAGAAACTCTTTTTTTTTTTTGGGTGTAAAATCATCGTTGCTTTAATGGCACAAGCAAGTTTTATTAGATGATCCGAGGTTAGACAATTGGCATATATTGGCTGGCCATATGACCATGTAGCAATATGAAGTACAAGTAAATTTAAGATTATATGGACTGCTATTTAACTCATTTGAAGTATTTAAGTCTCATTTGTTATAATGGAAAAATTTTTAATAGAATTAAAATTAAAATTAAAATTGAATTGAGTTATAAAAGCTTATTTGATATGGGTATAGAATCCGATATAATTTTAATCATTTATGTATTTAAAATAATAAAAATATCAAAATACCCCCTTGCTAGAAAAAAGTCTCACCACACCTCTCCTCCTACCACCCACAACCTCGACAGTTCAGCTGCATGGAAAGAGAGATGCCATGGAGAGAGAGGGGGAAAGAGAGAGGGGAGAGAGACGTTGTGGGCGGTGGCTAGCGTCCAAGAGCCTCCACAAGCTCAAGCACCTTTGCAAGTCCTCATCCGCATGTAGATGAGCGATGCCCAGACTTGGGTAAGCGCTGCCATGACACACAATGACACTTGCCTCAACTAGTTGGGCCCTATCCACGACCGCAAGTCCCTCCAAGCTACCTTTGCCTCTATCGCTAGAGTTGGGTGCTCAAGGTTATGGTTTATGATAATGCAACGATTAAGATTTATGGACCAAACCCATTGACAAACTTTGTGACTCCTCTGTCGAGAAAAAAGGCCGACGAAGCAGAGGTGGCGGTGAAAATGAAAATGAATGTGGTGGTGAAGTCAGAAGCATCCAGCTCCGGCTATGATTCTGACAACAAATCACATTGTCTACCATCTCCCACGTCAGTTCTGCAATTCAAAAGCAATTGCAATGAAGAGACCAAGCCGCAAAGGGCATGAGAATTAGAGAAAGAAAGCAAGGCAAAGCAGCTGAAGTGGAAGATGTATTCTAGGAGTGTGAAAGCCAATCAAGAGAAGGAGGATTATTTCAAGTTCGACATGCCAAAGGAGGATTACTTTGGATTCAATATGCCAAATTGGGAGCAAGTGTTCGGTTTCTCAATGTCAAAACCAGAATACTTGTTATTGTTCAAAGAAACTCCACCATTTCTGGGGGAGACGACGCCGATGTTAGTAGAGGAAGATTTCAGAGTGATCAAACCAAGAAAAAAAAAAGGCAAAGATAAGATAGAGGGCATGGTGGTCTGAAAAGATTAATTCCATAGAATCTGACCGATTCCATCCTCATTATGATAGAATCCAATTCAAGAAAATTTTCCTGAATTTGGATTCCCAAGAATCACAATTCAAATATACCAAACTTGTCTTTCTCAGGATTCCATTTCCGTTTCTGATTTTTTTTGGATGATTCTTGCATACCAAACATGGCCTTAGGTGGAGGGAAAGCAGCTAAAGCTATGTAGTGATGAATAACTTAAGTATAAAAAGGGAAATTTACGACATTGATAAAAGATGACCTACTTGACATGCTTTGTTTTTGGCTCTCGTCTCTGCTGTGCTAGGTACGTCATGATTCGGTTTCTGAAATCTCTTCTCACGCCGCTCACAAGAGCCCCATCCATCTGAGAACCTGCCTCCCCTGATAGTGATGGGGTTAACCAAAGAATGGCAACGTGATTGTGGTGTAAATGAGAAGAAATTAAAGTGACATGAATCGCAACTACCAAACAAGAAACATACTGCATGTATGCCCGAACCACAAACTCAGCGCGCTGGACATTACGATTCTCATCAAACTCAATATTCTTGTCTCTAATTTCAAAAGAAATATTGAAGAAGCAAGATATCTTCCTCCAACCTGTACGAAACACTTGCACCGTATTACATTTGACCTGATCTACTATGTTCAATGAAAAATGAAGAAACTTCGTTTACCTGACTTTTTTATGAAAGGCTTCCCCGAAATCAATGTATAATCAGTCTTCTCCAAAATCTGTCAATTGAAGGCACAACAAATCAGCAAGGCATTGTTTAGGCAAATCGCAGCTAAGAGTGGGGCACAAAAAAAAAAAAATCGCAGCTAAGAGAACAAAATTACCACCACTAAACTCCCGTACCAACATTAGATTACTTGCAAATCACAAGAAGTCAAAATAATGGATACTTGAATGACCTCTTCTGGCGATACATTTGTAATATCATATGCAGGAAGATGGGCAGACATAAATTTTATTACTTATTTAGCCCCAATCTGAAAGCATCTGCTCATGTACCTTTGGGTTTGGATTACAAATATTATGACCAAATCAAAGTCCTCGAACATATCTAATCAAGTATGCTTGGAATAAGTTATGTTTGCCAAGAAAATATGGTTTGGTTTCAACCAGTAAGGATATTTAAAAAGACTGCAGCTTAGTGTGCGATTATTCAAACAGGATCAGAGTCAGGAGGGAAAAAAATACGTTCACCCAGCTTTCTGATTGATGGCAGATGAGAAATTTTACGTTGGTCAGCTAACATTAAATGAATAAGCCTCACAAGAGAATGCCTTGAAAAGATGCAAATGATAATAAGAACTATGATTTCTTGCTAGCATTATACTATCAGAACAATAGATATATTACAGTGATCCTAAATACAGACCTCTCAATGTTTCTTTATGTCAAGTATATAATTCAGTTATCTCTTCCGTTCTATAACAATGGAGCATCCTTCTGAGGTTCAAATTTCGCATTATCATTAACCAACACTTAATTAAACATACTAACAAGTAACAAGTATATCGGAATAGTTACCGCCATGGCTGTATTTTGGTATTCCTTGAACAATGAAACTGAAGGGAACTTCCCAGAAAATCCATACATCGTGATCTCCCTCTCCTCGCTCCTGTCACTGTACCCTGGAGAGACCTCTGTATAAGGACTAATCTCTTTCACTCGAAGCCTCCCTATCTCAGGCGACAGATGCGCCTCCCGTGACGAATAAAAAGCTGCTGCCGATGGCGTTCGCTGCCCATTATTCACCAGAGCCAGTGGACTACTCTCGCTCGTCTCTGAAGGACAAATCCTTGCAACCTTCCTAGGAGGCCGGTACGACCAAGGTTCATGATCCACTTCACCGTCGCCTGTAGCCTTGGATTCGATGGAAGCTGAAGGGGAATCCCTCGAGATTCTCTGGAACTTGGTCGGTGGCAAGGGTTTTGAGATCGGAGATGGGGATGTGGTATTATTATATTTGATGGCAAGGGATTTGCACTTGGTTGTGGAACGGGAGGCAGTGGCGGAATCAATAACAGCCCACAAAGCGGCGTCGTCGAGATCCTTATCGTCGATTTGGGAGTAAGCTATTGGGGAGGCCATTTTCTAAAGTAGGGGGGAATTAAGAGGAGGGTTTTCGACTGAGAAGCTCAGGGCTAGCGGAAGAGAGAAAATGTTCGGATTTCATAGTGAGACTCTGATAGTCAGATGGGCGATCGGATTAACCGAGGAAGATAAGGCTTCTTCTCGACTGTGACAGTGTGAATCCCCACCCTGCATCTGCAATCCGAAGATCGGAAGATGCGCGGGTTATTTGAATTCAAATCCGCTTCGTCTGGCAAGGATCTAAACGTAGTCGCCCTGAGATAGAACCATATTCACTTTCGGGTGGATAATTCGAGTGGACAAAACTTATTTAAATCAAGTTTAATTTAAATTTGTTTATTTGAATTAAATTTAAAATATTATATCTCTTTTAAAAAATTTATATAGTTAAGTCCGACTCTAACACCTTCAGTTTTAAATTTATTCGAGCTAGCCTGAATACTTAAAACTTTTTTAAAATATTTTTTCTTATTTTTTAAATTAATTTTAAACTTAAATAATTTTATTAAATATAAAATATTATTTTAACTTTAAAAAAATAAAGTAAAAAATAACTTATTAACTTTGTACTTAAGTAACTATGTTATTGTTTGGTTTTATTTTGTGTAATTTATTCATGAATATTTTCTTTATTTATAAATTAATATCTTAATTATTTAACTATTACTCTTATCATAGTCACATATAAAATTTTTTATATTTTTAATTAAATTATATTATTTTCATTATGATTTAATTGATCTCAATTCAGTCACAATTAAATTACTAAATTAAAATTATTAACCCAATTAGTTTAAATTTTTTAATAACTTTTGAATAAATTATAATTTTTATTTTTATAAATATAAAAAAATAGCCATCATTATATTATATAAAAAAATTATTTAATTATAAGTAAAATGTTATTTTTTGAAATTATTTTTCTTTAATTTTTTATATTGCTTGACCCTTACATGTAAAGAATTTTTACTCTAATTTATTCTTAATTTTTAATCAAGTCTAGTATGGACAATAATCAAGTAATTATTTAAGAATATTATTTTATTTATTATGTTTATCTAGTAGTAGAGTCGGGAATTTGTACATACTTAAATTTTATTTTAATTTTATTTTTGCTTTAAAATTAATTATCTTATTTTATAAAAATATAAAATTAATTTTTTATAAGAAATGATGTATTGGACTCAAAAAATTAAAAAAATTGGGTCTTAAATATAAAAATAAATACTCTCTTCGTTAAAAAAATGTATGGTATTTTTAACTAAATCTCATCTCCTAATAAAATAGTTACTAATTTTTAAATTAATCTTATCTTTTTAACTTTACCTCCATTAAATATCCTATAATAATATAAAGTCATTATTAATAGGGATACTTTTGAAAAAAAGCAATGATTACACCTCAAAAAATTAAAAATATTTTATATTTTTTAACATCCAACTCCTCAATGGAGGGAGTATTAAAATATATTTTAATATTATTTTGAGACATTTTATTGATTAAAAATAATAAAAATATGAAAATATAACTATTTTTAATTTTTTTAAATAACTATAATAATATACTCAAATATATAGTATTTTGGTATAAAATGATATAAAACTTAAAAAATTAATTAATATTTATTAAATTTTATATATTTTCTAAAAATTTATTTTTTTATTCAAATATTCGAGCTAAGCGCGAACCCTATTGGACTTGGCTCAAATTTTCTTGGGCCTATTCGAGCGAAACATTAAAAAATAATATTTTTTTAGGCTTGACCCCAAATTTTTCAGGCAAGTTCAGGCTTGGTCTAAATTACCAGCTCTATCCACTTATTTGCTTTTTCATTCCACTGATGATGACCACTGAGCTCATCATTCAAAACGCTTTGTTTGACTAAGTGGAGATCATCCTGACCATCTGTGGCTGTATAAGTTGATTTGTTTGATCATTTAAAATTCACTCCTCTATAGGTCAACAACTAAGTGGGATTGTGTTTTCATTCTCTAAATTTTCCCACAAAAGTTCATATTAGAGCAAAGTAAGAGATGGATGGCATAGAAACAGGGCATGAAGAAGGAAGAGATTGCATTGAAACAACATAAGAAGAAGGAAGAGATTGTTTCCAAATTGAGGATGAAGAAGGAATAGATGGATTGATGCAAGCTAGACAAGAGAAGGAAGGAAGAAATGGATCACAACAAGCTCAACAAGAGGAGGAAGGAAGAAGACAAAGGTGGGAACCAGTATACTAGTTACTCATACGTGCACGCACATATTGAATGAAATGCATGAAAACAAATAACATATACAACCTGAAATGGGAGCTAATACACATACACATAAAATGTTGAAACTAAAAAGAAGCAGTTGAAACTGACACTATCACACACACACACACACATAACCTAAAGGGAGTTAAATACATGCCCATATATATAAACTTGAAAGGAGTTAAATATAAAAAGACAATATTATAATTTTATCTTGTTATGAATTTTCTTAAAAAATTAAAAATTTAATATTATTTAAATACATACATACATATATATATATATATATATATAATGATTCTATTTTGCATAGGGACTTTACAATGTAGGACGAATTGAAACCTAAAATAGGAAGGGAGTTTAGAAGTTGAGAAGAGGCATGGGAATTATAGCAAAAATATGCTAAACACACTGGGTTTAGACCTATAAAATACAATGGTACAAATAGTAGAAAAGGATGGTTCACTTATTACATATACATATGTATCCATCAAGTATATTACATATAGATATGTATGTTGTGACAAAGGTTATCAAAAAGAAGGTAAAAAGGAGACATATTCTTCCAAGTATCAAGCAGAGACAAGGACAAACTATAAGGTAAGATGATAATATATTTCATTGATTAAAAGTATAAAATCACTAAATTTGTTTAAGAACATAACCCCCCTTATCCACATTATCAAAAAGCACTTTTTAGCATCTCAAATAAATTTATCAGAAGTTGATGCTTGTGGGATTGATCTAGCAAGGAAGTCTAGGCTCCAACAAAAATTTACTTTTGACCTAATGATTACATATGTTGAACATAATTCAAATGTTGGATATACTCAAGTAAATATGCAAAACTATTTACAGAAACAAAGGCAAAGAAGCATGAAGTATGGAGATATAAGGTGTCTATTTGAATATTTTCAAAAATAACTTGCAACATATCCTGCATTCTACCACAAATATCAAGTAGATATAGAGGAACAAATCCCTAATGTATTTTGGGCAGATGCTACAATTACTAATAGACTATGCTTTTTGGTGAGATTGTATCTCTAGACACAATCTATTGCACAAATTGTGATGATTAACCTCTTGCAATATTTTTTAGCTTTGATCATTATGGAAGTATGGCCATTTTTAGCAATATTATTGTATGATGAAACCATTGTGTCTTTTAAGTGGCTATTAGAAACTTTTTTAGATGCTCACATGTAAGAGAAGCCTAAAATTGTGTTTATAGATCAAGATCAAACTTTGGCGAGAGCTTTGAGTGATGTTCTTCCTAACACAAAACATTGTTTGTGTACTTGGCATTTAAAGCAAAATGGCATAAAAAACTTAGGAAACTTAATGAAAGATGGATCACATTTGCTAACTAACTTCTATAAATGCATGTCTAAAATTTTAAAAGAAGACAAGTTCGAAGAAGTTTAGAGCCAATTAATCTCTTCTTATGATGTCCATGAAGATACATGGTTGATATCCATGTATAATATCAAAGAGAAATGGGTTTGGTGCTATGTAAAGAATCATTGTGCATTAGGTATGAGAAGTACACAACTTAGTAAAGTGTGAATGCTAATGTGAAGAGATGCACAACACTGAGTTTAGATATCAATGAATTCTTTACCACTTTTGACAAAGCTGTAGCAAAAAAGCAAGACAAGAAATTGAAACTTGAGTTTGATTCTTAACAACAAATCCTGAAGATGGTTAATCAAAGCATGCCTATGTTGCACCAACTTGTGCTAACTTGCACTCCTACTTCCTTTAACATGTTCCAAGCACAATAGAGCCTCTAATTCTCTATGATGTTGATTAACCGTAATGAGAAAGGACCATTATATATATACACTGCCCACATGGTTGATGAAAGGGGAAAATGGAGAGTTAAGTTTAAACCTAACACACAAGAAATTTGTTGCACTTGTCGGATGTTTGAGACCACTATAATATTGTGTTGTTATGCGTTGAAAGTATAAGAGTCAAAGGATATGAAAATTAGAAAGACCAGAGAAGCAAGAAGTGATGTTGTACATGATGTTGGAGGGTGTAAGATACAAGCAGACCCAATACTTGAAATAATACAAATATATAGATGATTAATGCATAAAATGGGCATTTTGGCAAAAAAAGGCAACGCAGAATCTTGAAAGTTTTGAGCGTATTCAAAAATGCATCATTAAATTGGAAAATGAAACTTCAGATAGTAATGAAGATACTATTGCTAAACCAAGTAGATCATCAATCATAGACTCTGAAAATATGCCTAAAGGATTCAAAAAAAGAGAAGGAAGAAAAAGAAAGCAACACTATGAACCTTAGGAAGAAAAAAATTTAATGATAAGAAGATGACTTATAAAAGACTAAGAGGTATTGAGTTTTTATTTAAACTACATTTAATACAAAAAGAAATTGTTATTAATTTTATATTTATCTTGTGTGGGGCATTCAAGAGGCACCATCTTGTAGGAAAAGAAGAAAAGATTAAAAAAACAAATTTATAAAGACACAAGCTATAACAATTTGAACAAAACTTGTATAAACTCAAGAGTCAACATTCTCATACTTAGTAACTCTAACTTAATATATTTTTCCACCATTTGCATCCCAAGCATTGTCATTTACAAGCTTGTTGTTGGTAAATATCAATAAATAAGTTACTACTAATAATTATATATAGTTTTCAAAACTATTAATACTTGGAATGTAGGAGCCTAAAAAATTGGAATCCCATCTCTTGAAGCCATGGAGATGACAACAAATTATTTACAAGGTATTCAGTAGAAGAGTAGATGGGCACAACTTGCATAAGAATAAGCTTTTATTTATTTCACAATTTTTGTTCACTTGCTAGCTATATACATATATCATCACATATGGCCATCACACTACATAAACATTACAAGTTACAATTTCTTCTTCATACATGACATTAAAGTAGATACAGGATAGATTGCTAGCTACTTTTTTTGAATCCATCAGCAT